ACTGCTTTTTTAAGTCATAAGTCAATTTCCTAAATCAGAAAGCATAAATCATAATGATTTATTTGATTATTAATTATTTACCCAAAAAAACTATTTGGGGGACCTTATAAACAATTAGAGTCATAAGGTAATACTCAATTCGTTGCCGACCGAAATGATCTGGATGTTCTAATGATTCAAATCATTGGAGAACGGTCTGTGGTATACCTGATATGTGCTTGACTCATGTAATACCGAAGCACTTAACAGACAGTGCATAAATTAAAAACAACAATTAATTAAATTTCGTGAATTAAATCCACTTGAATGAAGTCTTTTTGGAAAGTATGAGCAAAAAGTGCCTATTTCAGAGCCGAATTAATTTATACTCTTGTTTTGTTTGGATAGCCCATGACCTACTACATATATCAACGAAAAACCGACATTCACTCTTCAAAAGCTGATAGCTGCATTATTGTGAACAATATAACAAACGCTGGAAAGGAAAATGTTATTTTCCAACACTGATTTCTACGTAAAACGTAAAGATAACAGATCGAAACAAACATTTTTATGGTTTCCCGCATAATCCATTACGGTACTTTGACGTGTTGTAGTTAGATGAAATAAACCGTGTTCTAGTAAATGGTTAATCATCCAAAATACACATTAAGAGGGGTTATGGACTGTTTCCCTTCCATTTCTTTGAAGTTTTGCACACCCAAAAAACCTATCTACCATTTCAGTGCGTTCAGTTGGAGATTTCTACTATAGTACCAAGGGATCTACGGCATTTACTTTCACCACCATCAAGGTCAAAGTATGCGTTTTTCATTCACTACCACTACCTTCAAGGTTAAACTGTAGTCCTAGAAGGCAGTAATAGTTCTCAATGGTAATAGGTAAATACGTAAGTTTAAAACAAGAATGAAATTTATCCCTAGAGGGTACTTTCGGGGTTGCGAATATATCATTTAAACATAATCAATCAAAGAAACAAAAATATTTGAACAGTTACAACCCCCACGATGCAGTATTGCTATGCATGTAAGTGTGAATTTTCTAAAAATGTACGTAAGTTTACGACTAGAATGAAATTTAATTGTAGAGGGGAGTGTTGGGGTTGCTTATAGATCATTTAAACATAATCGATCAAAGAAATAAAAATATTCGGTCCATTGCAAAAGTTACAACCCCCCTAATCAGCGATTACTATGAATGCAAGTGTGAAATTCATAGAAAATTTCGTAAGTTTAAAACAAAAATGAAATTTATTCCTAGAGAGTACTTTCGGGGTTGGGAATAGATCATTTAAACATAATCGATCAAAGAAACAAAAATATTTGGACCACTGCAAAAGTTACAACCCTCGCGATGCATTGTTGCTATGCATGAAGTGTAAAATTTCAAAAAATTTTCGTAAGTTTAAGACTACAATGAAATTTTATTGTAGAGGGGAGTTTCGGGGTTGTTTATAGATCATTTAAACCTGATCAATCAAAGAAACAAACAAATTCGGTCCACTGCAAAAGTTACAGCCCCCCTAACCAACGATTGCTATGCATTTAAATGTGAATTTTCTAAAAAATTACGGAAGTTTAAAACGAGAATGAAATTTATCGTTAGAGGGAGTTTCGGGGTTTCTTATACTATGCGATCAAGAATGAGTTGCTTTCGAGTCGCCTTTAAAATTGTTGTTTACATGGAAAATCGTATTTAACTTGAACTTCCAAAGGCGACTCGACAGCAACTCATTTTTGATCGCCCGTTAGATCATTTCAACATAATCGATCAAAGAAACAAAAATTTTTGGACCACTGCAAAAGTTACAACCCCCACGATGCACTATTGCTATGCATGAAGTGTAAATTTTCTAAAAAATTACGTAAGTTTAAGACTAGAATGAAATTTAATTTTAGAGGGGAGTTTGATGGTTGCTTATAGATCATTTCAACATAATCGATCAAGGAAACAAAAATTTTTGGATCACTGCAAAAGTTACAACCCCCGAGATGCACTATTGCTATGCATGAAGTGTACATTTTCTAAAAATTTACGTAAGTTTAAGACTAGAACGAAATTTAATTTTAGAGGGGAGTTTGAGGGTTGCTTATAGATCATTTCAACATAATCGATCAAGGAAACAAAAATTTTTGGATCACTGCAAAAGTTACAACCCCCGAGATGCACTATTGCTATGCATGAAGTGTAAATTTTCTAAAAAATTACGTAAGTTTAAGACTAGAATGAAATTTAATTGCAGAGGGAAGTTTGGGAGTTGCTTATAGATCATTTCAACATAATTGATCAAAGAAACAAAAATATTCAGTCTGCTCCAAAAGTTACAACCCCCCTAATCAACGATTGCTATGCATGTAAGTGTGAAATTTTTAGAAAATTACATAAGTTTTAAACGCGAATGGAATTTATTCCTAGAGGGCAGTTTCGGGGTTACTTATAGATCATTTCAACATAATCGATCAAAGAAACAAACATTTTTGGACCACTGCAAAAGTTACAACCCCCGCGATGCACTATTGCTATGCATGAAGTGTAAATTTTCTAAAAAATTACGTAAGTTTAAGACTAGAATGAAATTTAATTGCAGAGGGAAGTTTGGGAGTTGCTTATAGATCATTTCAACATAATTGATCAAAGAAACAAAAATATTCAGTCTGCTCCAAAAGTTACAACCCCCCTAATCAACGATTGCTATGCATGTAAGTGTGAAATTTTTAGAAAATTACATAAGTTTTAAACGCGAATGGAATTTATTCCTAGAGGGCAGTTTCGGGGTTACTTATAGATCATTTCAACATAATCGATCAAAGAAACAAACATTTTTGGACCACTGCAAAAGTTACAACCCCCGCGATGCACTATTGCTATGCATGAAGTGTAAATTTTCTAAAAAATTACGTAAGTTTAAGACTAGAATGAAATTTAGTTGCAGAGGGAAGTTTGGGGGTTGCTTATAGATCATTTCAACATAATCGATCAAAGAAACAAAAATATTCAGCCTGCTCCAAAATTTACAACCCCCCTAATCAACAATTGCTATGCATGCAAATGTGAAATTTATAGGAAATTACGTAAGTTTAAAACAAGAATGAAATTTATTCCTAGAGGGTACTTCCGGAGTTGCGAATAGATCTTTAAACGTAATCGATCAAAGAAACAAAAATATTTGGATCACTGCAACAGTTATAACCCCCGCGATGCAGTATTGCTATGCATGTAAGTGTGAATTTTCTAAAAATATAGGTAAGTTTAAGACTAGAATGAAATTTAATTGAAGGGGGGAGTTTCGGGGTGGATTATAGATCATTTCAAAATAATCGATCAAAGAAACAAAAATTTTTGGACCACTGCAAAAGTTACAACCCCCACGATGCACTATTGCTATGCATGAAGTGTACATTTTCTAAAAATTTACGTAAGTTTAAGACTAGAATGAAATTTAATTTTAGAGGGGAATTTTGAGGTTGCTTATAGATCATTTAAACCTGATCAATCAAAGAAATAAAAATATTCGATCCACTGTGTATGAAGTGATTGGATTTTTAGATATACTGTATACTGCACTTACAAAGAACGTCTACAAACTGGTTGCCTCAACTGCACGTTCCGATACTGGTGTCCAATTTTTAGTTGTTGCATTTTTCCAAAGATCTACAAACGTCCAAAGCGAATATACTATATAGACATTCTCTACAAATAATGAAGTAGGTTTAAAAGTGAAATAGTTGCTCTAGAACCTGACAGATCTGAGGGGACTAATCCAGCACAATTGTTAATTACCAAAACTGAAGTTACAAATCAGAAATTCAGCCTCGCTCACGTGTTACCCACTTTGTTATACATGGCCATTTATATTTTGTACAGAAATGTAATTATTTAAACAGAATTTCGGTTGCAATAATTTCTAAATAATTAATCAAGCACGGTATAAGGCTATTAAATCGAAAACTTCAGGTAACAACTACATTTTGATGGATTACTTATTTCGTCACTGCTTACGGAATCTGCACTTATTGAGAAATTAACAAAATCAACAACATTATTGTGTTGTTGTGGAGCTCATATTTAGTTCCTATTAGAAAAATTATGAAATTTGCACGAGACATTTGAAGCATTTCCCTAGAAACGCTAATCGATTGTCTTCAGTCTAGGTTAAAGATGTAAAAACGTTTACAGTAGAAAGTGATCTGAATCAGGCAAATTTGAATGCAAAAGTGACGTAAATTGTAATACACCTAAATAGTAGGCTGAATCACAAATAACCCCATCCACTTTCACAATGCACGTAACCACTTCCTATTATCATCAATTCTTGCAAAAGAAAAATTTCTTTAAAGCATCATTAAACGATGAATAACGTTACCGTCAAAAATTTTCATTTTATATTGGAGAAACGAGTTGAGGTATATAGACACGTGGACAAGTGGTCCAACGCAAATTTGTGGCCCCTAACAAAAGATGTAAAATAGACTATATGTTTAAGTATCCTCTATAACTGTCAAAGCATGACCGAAAAAAGTTTTCTACATTTGAATAAGTCCTCTAATTAATTGTGGTACAATTGCGCGTACAGACCATTCTGTTGGTCTTAATTGTATCACACGTATAACGTCAGGTCAAAAGTAATGCATTAAAATTTATTCTATTAAGGAATTGAACTTCTTTACATATGTTTATGCATGCAAAACGACCTAAATTATTCAACATCTTTTACTGAACACCTTCACGGTGTTCCGCTTTTCCAGTAGCATAATGCGCGTCTGAATTGTACCGAATTCAGTTCAACTTGCAACGAAGCTTGAATGCCGGCAATACATTTTGAATGGTTCAAAACAACCCCAACGTACTTGTAACATTCATGCACGGATTCTCAAAAGAAAGCTGTGGATCTAAGTTTTGTAATAAAATTAAACATATCGTGACTCATTACCAAAGAAGGCCATTTAACACTCATCTTCCGACGGTATGGCCACGTGTCAAAATTATAAAACAACACTTACCATGCACCCCAAATCCTCATCGGCGTAGAGACCGGGGAAATGCTTCTGGTCACCGCAGTAAAACGACGTATCCGGAAGATCGACGCGCGACGCAAAATTATCATCAAAATTTTTGTCGTAACCGACAGGGTAATATTCTTTAGGTGCGTTCATAACCTTATTTCGACTTGATAGATGCCTGGGAGGGGTTGGTGGTGGTTTATGGGTTGTCGTGATAGTAGCCTTTTTCGCTGCCAATTGCTGTTGGCGTATTAACAGCGCTGCTTCGATTGCTTCGGATGAAATGTTAGTTGCGGCCGCCAAAGCCTGAATGGAACTTTTTGCGTTATTGGGCACTGTGGGGAAGATTTCGTTGTTTAGCGGTGATGCCAGTGTTCTAATTGCTAAGTTCGTGCTGCTTAGTTTATCACCAGTTTGCGACAGTTTGTTGCTATCCACAGGTATAATTCCCCCAGTGGAGACGCGTGATATAGACGTAGGAATTGCGTTAAATGCGGGAACAACTCCTACGAAGGTTGGTGTTGGAACGATGCTGCCAATTCGTCTGGTGCTGTTTTTAGTTACAGGTACCCTTTCAGGCGCGGGTGGAATGGGTTTAAATGGAGGTATTGTGGAGCCGTCTGCCGATGTCATTGAAGGAATGGGGCGTATTACTAAGTTTTTTGCCTAAAAGAGATCCGTTAGTTAAATAAGTAACTACTACCAAGGGTGCGTACGTTTATTTGAGGTGATGGGTTGATGGATTGAAATTTTGACGCTCCTGGTACGGAACGTCTGCGATTACCTTCAGCTTCAACGTTCGTAAGTGACTCCTTAAATCCCAGTTCATCTCCAAGACTGAAACCTGAAAGATAATTTTAGTAACTCTGGCACTCCTGTGATTGCTAGAAATTGATAATGACACCAACGTATGAACGCCAAACTACAGTAAGATAAGCAAAGTATTTCTCTACGAATACTATAGAAGTATGAAATCTAAGCTACACATTATGGCAATTTTTCCTAAAAACCGTTTTGTCAAATTTGGTCCGATTAGTTTACGTAGGTACTATTGAACATTATTTTATTCGCGCCGCTGTCAACTGAATGATTAATTTTTCTGCATAAAAAATATGCCATATCTTTCAAAATTGGCAGATCACCCTGCAAATTACGCCAGCGATGCATATATAATTAGCAAAACAACTTAAAAAAATGTATCTATAACCCATTCATTAAAAAAAAAGTGTCGTTTCCTTCTTTGGAAAATGAGCGCAGAAATTTGCCGTTTGCTTTTGTTGTTAAGTTGTTAGCGCTAAATATGTTTCCCAAAACATACACTACACCTGGAAATTCGAAGTTATTTGTCATTTTTTATCTTCTGCGTTTTTGATACTTTGGTTTTAAATACAAAAAAGACGAGAAACAATGAATATTTAGAGGTATATTAAAAAAAGGGCACTTACTACCGTCGAAAAATGGAGCGATAAATTTTCTTCTACAAAGAAGACGACAAACGGTAATGAACGATGTATTTTTTAAGTTGTTTCACTAGCTTTATATACACAAGAAATTATTATATGATTCCGATTTTGTTTTTGTTTTGCGACCATATATTTATATATCTTGTGCCAAATTTAAAAAAAATTAGCCAGCAAATTTAAATTGTCTTTGAGTGACCCGGATGGAGACACTGTAGGTCTTGCTCAGTTACATTTTTGAACTGTTTGACATACAAAATATTTAAGTGCGTCTTCGAACTGGTTTTGCATACCACACAATTCCCAAAATTAAGAAAAATTGTCATTGGAGAAATTGAGCTAGATTTTTAACTCCAGTGTGTTACATTAACTTACAATGGACACTGAAAAGTCTTAGAATGCGTATTGGCCAATGACCGTACCAATGTTTGATAAATTGAAAATTTTAAGAGGACAAATTGCCATTATGTAAATAATCTAAGTCTCATTTAGTAGAAAGTTAATAAACAAATTGACATGCTACGTAATCAAGTCAACTTGTGATGGAAGATGTCTCAGTGTACTTTAGCGCCATCAAAAATGCATATTTACAAAAGACGTTAATGCACGATGATTAAACGAGCATGAAAATAAGCGAAAGATTACCCAGGCCAATGTGAGCTTTGACACCACCAAGATTTCTAACTCGGAAGAGTCCGGATTTCTTAAAAGCGCAGTTCAGGATAAATCCGAATTCTGATTCCAGAACACAGGTGGGGTGGCCAAGACGCCAAGTCCCGCCTGCAACCAATAAGTGGAATTGTAATAACATCCTGGAAAAACCAGAAACTATGTAGGGTTCTCCAAGATGATCGCTTAATCACCAAATAATATTCGGTAAGGCATGTACACTTAAAAGACCTACTGACCCACATGGTGCATTTATAACTGTCTGTGGAATATTATTTACAGTTTTTACACATATATCCGCTTTTGATCTCAAAATTACGAGACCCATAAAGCCTAAGAAGATTATTAAGACAACCACCACTTGTACCTACGTGTATCCTGCAGATCTACACAAGAAATTACGTGTTTACATGCTTAGTTAACATGAAGGATTTACAGCGTAATTAAAAGTAAAATACAATTACCTACCCAGAATAAGAATAAAAACTAAATTCGCGCACTTCATATCTTCACAAACACGCGTCGCACTTGCTGAAGACGCACGCACACATGCACCAAGTAAACTCTTTGAACTGCAAGAAGGAACGCGACTTCGGTTCTTTGACTTAACACGAAGACTACCACTGACCCAGTCTTTTCACCAATCCTTGTAACGGTATCAATAGTACCAATAACGTCGATGGCGTAAACTGACCAACCTTCGCACAATCTATTATACCTCTAATCAGTCGTTTAAAGAACGTTTACGTGTTCTCTTATCAACCAGCAAGTGCTCTTGCGTCGTACTAACATTGCCGAACGACAATATCCCAAATTATTTTCTAATTTTACCTATAAAAGTTAATAACTATTGGCAAGTGTTCTATGTTGAAATTTAACATAAACCTACTAAATTCAAAGTTAAAGATGCCATTGAAAGTGCTGACCCAAAATAAATATTTAACCGCAATTAATTCGTTTTCAATTAAATTCTATAATTCTCTCCGTCTCTGCAAAGCGTTAAGTTATTAAAGGTCGCTCTTTTATTACATTGATTTACAAGACTGATCCCTCTAATCCCTACAGACGGTAGACCATGGTCTGGTTTATGATCAACGTTAAAAGATCCATGGAAGCCTTTGCCAATTTGGTCACTGATTACATAACTATTAAAGTGAGAGGAAATTGCTTCTTTATTATTCCATCCTGAGGGTACAACTACTGAGCATGGTTCGGAGGTGATTTGAGATAGGTTCAAGATTGGGAAAAACGGTGGTGCCAGTATGGCTTCGTGATCATTCTCTTAATCTTGTTGTACATTGCGCACTATTGGCAATACTATCGCTTTGTTGATATAAATGACAATAAAATAAAAATCAAATGTATCTTGTGACCCGATTTCAAGAGAACAACGTTTGTCTCTCTAACGGCATTCCACTTGAACGGCGGAAGTAGTTACGGAAATGGAACAAGTGATTTCATAAATACATCAAGGAATTTTGAAACTATAATCTACGAGCACTCAATACATAAAAAATGTACCTTAAAAATAAATATACATGATACGAAGAATCGCAAACAATTTTCGGTAAGGGAATTTGTTTACGGACAGGCAGACAAACAGACAGACTGACAAAACACTTACCCCCGCTATCAACCGAGGTGTGCATTAAAATATGGGCACGCTCTGTACAGCGTTTTCCACGTGGAGCGTCGGTTAGACCTTTTTGGGAAACGATATTCATTTTGATACTGTAAATTTTAATATAGCACATTAGATATATAAAGACCAAAGTTAGTAATTTTCGAGAAAAATAAAAATGATTGGACTTAAGAATTCATACTGTTTAGTTGGAGAACTTTCACCCATTGACATTTTCCGGAATTAAGTTCCACCTTTGTGCATCGACCCTGATGTTCGAATGTTAGAAAATGGGTTGGGGAACGACGCTATCCAGTGGCGCTCGTTCAATTACAAAAACAGCGAAAACTAACCTATTTTTTCTTACGGCACTTGAAAGGAAAAATCTCCTTTTTATAAGCTTCTTATACCTACTTTTATAGGTTCTTTAATGATTTATATTATTATAAGTAAAGGAAGGTACATCCGAACAGAGTACCTCTGCAATCTGTGATAATAATAGTCAAGAAAACATAAAGAACTGTATCAAACTGTTATTGCATTTTTTTTTATTTATCTGGCTTATTTATTTATATATTCTTTATATTTATATATACACATTTTAACTTTGGTCGTTTTAAGGTAATAATATTCATATTATCAATATTAAAATTTGGTACACTCCAGAACGAAAATATTCTGCATTCTGCACTGAAATTGTAATGGTTTAAAGCTACATTGCTGCAACCTTAGTGCTGCAACATAAGCAAGTACAAACCATTTTGTATTTGCCTCCAAGAAACCCACCTAAAAAGGGATGAAATATTCTACCTAAAAGATAACGTTTTTTGACGAAATTTTATAACAATTAATTAATAACCGGTTACAATCCCATGCTGTCGTTTATTGGAAGAATATATGGATAATAACCCAGTGGTACTCTTGAATATACGGGAACACTAACACCTACCCATTTCATTGCGAAGTAAAATAACTTTACAGCAGTACCGAGCCGTTCATGTCATTTAATATTTATTTCATGTTATTGCGCGTAAGCATCATAAACGCCGCAGAAGAATGTATACCATAAACTACAAGTGCCCCATGGTGGACACCTGTTGTTAAAAACGCTATCAAAGAGAAGAAGCAGATGCTAAGACGGTTTAAGCGAAACCTCAGTGCTGAAACTATGATCTCATTCAAAAAGGCACGTGCAGCAGCCAGAAAAGTAATAACGGAGGCCGGAGGGTAAAAGGAATGCATGGGAAAATACAATTATCTGTAACGGTTTCCGAAAATCTGACGCTCAGAGACCACCAGCTCGGCGCTGGTAAGATATTTCTCATTGTTTCGGAGTTATTGATTTTTATGATTCAATACAATTGAAAAATCGACTGATAAATCTGTCCGTGGTGATCCCGCCAATTGGAAAACATTCCAACATTTATTTGAGGCATTGGTAAATAACACAAGTAAAAGTTCCACCTATTTGCAATGGTACAGCTGTCTTTTATCCATCAAATACCCGTACCAGCTACAAACTAGCATGATGCAGTAACGGCATCAGCACATGCTTCGGCATTGTTTGATCCGTGACCGGCAAAGGACGCCAAAACTTGTAGCATGTTCTTGGTGGATTCAAGGGTCTTTTGATCCGATGGCTTTGCAGACACTTTTCATAGTGTATTTAGTTCAGCTTCTTGAAAAAAAGCTGGAAAACGGTAGTACACTCCTACGCTGTTATCATCCATTTATGGAAGCTGTTGAGGGGCGTATTCGTGCCTTTTAACATCTCAGAAAATCAGAACGCCACAGAAGCCCTTCAAGCTTTACCTCGACCGAAGAGAACCGTTGATTAGAATGCTTTTAGAATATGTGTTAGTCGTGAAGAAACTAATTCGGTCAGTTCAATAATAAATAGGAGTATTGACAACGGTAGCGAACAACGTAGACAAAGTTATATCGAACAGTACCCAACAAAGACTTATTGCTAGTGGCAGATACACCACTGCTGAGGCGTGTAGTAGAGGAACGGTGATCCCACAGGAGCAAAGCCGGTCAGAAGGTGGACCAAAACGAGACACGGCAAATTGATTGTAATTCCATTCCACGAAATTTATTATTGCACAGTCTAACTGTCGGTATAGGTTCAAGAAAAATACTTAATTTGTAGGTTTACTAAAAGTTTGCTCGTCTTGAACTTATAATTTACGGTGTATATTATTGCTAAGTGCCTACATAAAAGTATTTAAATTCGTAGGAATAAGAGAAAGAAATACGTTGTTTTAATTGTTAGTGTGCAACGTACTACTAACAAAATTAATGATCCTCACATATATAGCTTAACTGTAGCACAGGTAATTAATGTACCAGCACAGATTAAAATCTGTGGTACCAGTAACCCTCAAAGTTCTCTAACACTTCGTCGTGTTCCAATTCAGATTTGTTCGCAATTCGCATAAATCATAATTCGATTTAATTAGATTATTATCATTTGACCTGGTACGCATTGTCCAGCTCTAGGTTGCTGTAACTTTGGGTCCTCTTTCCAAAGAGAGTGGTTGTTGCGACAGAAATAGTGGAAATTCATTTATATCTCTCGGTTATCCTCAACTTTACACAAATGAAGATTATGTTTTCTTATTAGCTCATTACAGGGCTATAGTAACTCCACTTTGGCTCTTCACCTATACCTACTTCGGCTACAATGTCGTGTTCCTAAGCTCACTTCATTTATTTTATTAATTTATTATCTCTCTCTTGTTCTGGGCCCTCAACAGGCTTGCACCCAATTACAGAGTGACCCGCATAATGCTTTTTAGAGGTGCCNGAAACTGCAGGAAAACCTAATTAGAGAATCATGTGCAGTTGCTAGGGTTGCAACATGGCCAGGATTTTCCGGGGTTGTCCCGGAGTTAACTGCACTGTCCCGGACCCCGGTTTTTCATTTAGGAACAAAATAACGCAACTTCTTAAATCAAAATTCAAAAGTTACACGCATAGCTTTGGTGCTAATGGCGGACACAATTACGTTAAAATACGTGTGTTATAGCAAAGAGTACCCAACTCTTTGGTTATAGCATTGATTCATTTATGCTTATAGTGAACCAATTCAAGCAATAGCGCCGCACTCCATAAAACTATGTTTTCTTTTAATTACCTTACTGAACTTTTCATTTATTATTAGGTATTAACTGTACACTGCCCATTTTTGTAAATGATTCGTATCAGACTGAAGCTTTATAAGTAGTTTCGTTTTGAGGAGTGCATTAATAAAAAGTTATAGTAAAAAGTCAATTTTTTTCATGTACCATAATTTTACACTTTTGCTTTTTTAACGATCCTTGAAATCGTTTATAATTTTGTATTGCTGTCTGTCTGTCTCTCCCCTTGTCTGTGCGCCTGTTTGTTCGTCTGTACGGTGTGCAATTATAGGTGTCAAAATATAATTCTAGTTTTTTTTCGTGTACCCCTATGTGCACGTATAGGTACATATAATACATAGGTACCTAGTAACTAAACAACAATCCTACTTACCTCAATAATTACTTATAACATAACCCACAGCCTTCCACCAAATTTACAGTGTAAAATAAAAAATTCTGACGTCGTACTTTAAAGTTTAAATTTAACAACCGAAAAATTAAAGACAAATTATACCCATTTTTCCTCCTTACATTATACATGTGTCGTAATGTCCACGCACCAATGTATGCGCTACTCGTCCTAGCCTAGGATCTTGCCCACTAACGTCCGCGTCCCAATGCTTGGAGCCGCTGCTCTTACATTTGTTACACCTCTTGAGAGCCTCCTAAGATTTGCGTATATCCCCAAAAGTGGAGAAAGGTAAAGAGTTGTATACCTAGTTACCTACCTAAGCCGGGTCGTGCCAAACATGACATGGCGAAGGATTACAATTAGGTACAACCCGATCAGCCTATAATCGTTTCTTCTAAAAACGGCGAAGCAGCTGGTGGATGCATTAAGGAATAGGGTACTGGTCCTGGGAGCGTTTCTAGGTCCACGGTGCGTTTAACTACACCGCGTTCAATTCAATTAGTGAGGCTGCTGAAGGATTTGGCACTGATGGATCAATCGTAAGATGGATCCGAGCCATGCTCGGAAGCAGAGTCATATCCTCCATCGGAACGACAGAGATGAGCTCATCGGTTACTAGAGGACGTTCGCAGCTACGGTGGACTGTTGGCTCCACTGCCGTAGTGCCTGGAGCGTATACAATACACCAGGAATGCGCGGAATAACTGGAAAATTTCACAGTGAAAAAGCTCATGCAGGGGGCTCTTGAACAGATGGTGCAGTAGCCATGGCCTCTCCGTTAACACGGAAAAGACCGAGGTTGTTCCATTTACGATAAAGAAGGACGAAGAACCTCGATGGGCTCACTCTTCGAGGACCAGGTCAGTGAAAGATTTGAGAGTCATCATCATGACTCCCGCCTGACCTGGAAAGGACACATATTGGGCGAATAAACAAAAAGACCACTGCATGTCTATGGGCATGTAGAAGGACTACGTTTGGTTGTACATGAGGCTAAACCCTCGACTCATATATTGACTTTCCAATGTAGTGATATGGCCAATAATACTTTACAGTGCACTTATATGGTGGCCTGCCAGCAGCTAGGAAAGGTTCAGAGACTCGCCTGTCTTGGGCACGGGCGGATCTGGGAGAAAATCCATCAGATCCGATCCCCCTTCTCACCAGAAGGGATGTGATCTGGGCTGTCTTACTACTAACTAAATAATCTTTACACTATGCGAAGACCAAAAAGTTATAAGATCACTCTCCTGGACAGGGAGCAGTGGCTGAACTCAGATTGCCCGTTCCTCAAACCTGTGGAGCTCATGTGGTTACAGATGGGTCCCTAACGGAAAAAGGAAAGTGCATATGGGTAGTTTTATATGGTGATCGACCGAGAGCTGACATCAGCTTCTCTCTAGCACAGTGTTTCAGGCAGAGATGTTAGCCATCACGATCTGTGCACAGGAGAACCTCCATGCAGTGACAGTCGGACAGTGCTGAGAGCCCTGTCAAGTTGCAGGCGAACTCTAGATAGATTAGGCGAGTCTAATAGCGTAAGCTTAATTTGGGTGCCAGTGCACTGCGGAATAGGGGGCAACTCTCAATGGTGGGCGCGGGCTGGCTCGTGAAGGCATCAGTGGTACTTACCTTCTCTGCTGTCAAGACCAGGATTAAAGACTGAGTGACCAGTTAATTTCAGGCTCAGTGGCAACAATAAGGAACCCGACTGCTGTAGGAGAGCCCATGTGCAGGTTATGGCGAGGCAGATAAAACTACCGAGCATGTGGTCTGTCACTGTGACGCCTTGATCAAAGACAGACATCACCTCCTTGGCGACAGCTGTCTGGGGGACGAAGAAACTTAGGCTAAACAGCTTGGGTCCTATCCTTTATTAAGAGGAACAGGCTCTGAACCTAGTTGCAAAGGTAATGGAGTAGACACGATGGGCCTTTGGTGTGCCTAATTGCTGCCTGGCCGGGCTTCCCTTATTAATAGATAACTGGCGATCAAAAATGAGTTTCTGTCGAATCACCTTTGGAAATTCAAGTTACGTACAATTTCCAAAGGTGACTTGACAGCGATTCATTTTTTATCGCATAGTGAGATGTCGAAAATCTCCAATGTACGTGTAAGGGATATACTTACATTTGGCAGAATTTACATAATATAATTAGTCTATACGTTTTGGATGTCTTATGGACATTCGTGTACAAGGCAGTGATTTTATGCAAATGCATGTTTTAAATTAATAATATGCCATGTGTGTGCTTTTGGATCTGGGCTGATCAACTTGAATAGAGTTGAAATAACCCAATTAATTTTTGCATATTTCAGTGCCCTTGTGCATAAAATATTATCAAGAGCATATTCAAGCATTTTTGATCCCTGTGTAGTTATTTCTAAAGAATTTTTGTCTCTGGCCTATTATAAAATTGTAAAGCAAAAAACTTTTGCGCTTTCCTGTTCATAAGTCGACGCCACGGATTTTGTGTATCTTAGTGAGTCATAAATTCCGACGATTGCATAAAAAGCTTGCAGTTTTTACGTCTGCATTTGTAGTCGCTGCCGTAATTATTAGTTTTTCTTTGGAGTTTTACGAAGCAGTACCCACTTAGTAGCATTTTCCTTCTCGTTGTTATCAAAGGTAAGAACATGATGCATATTTGGTGCATAATTAACACTAGTTTTGTGCATATATATGCGCATATTTCTACATGTTGAAGTGCATATTATTCCTTGCATTGTTCATGTATATGCATCATACATGCTTCATGTTATGGTATACTTACTGAAAAGCGGATGTCCATTGAATATGCCTATAATATGCAAATATGTTCAAAAGAATATTCCATGAATGTGGTATATATTCAGAATGGATTTTCGATTGAATTTGCTATAATCTTCAGGAAGCTTAGGTCATATACATTTCATCTACACATAAATACTTAGCGAAGTTTTGTTTCTTAAACCTGTGTATTATACTGGAAATAAGTATCTGTCCTTAAATTTTATTGGCAAAGGAACACTGCCAGTAATATGCAAGCTTTTTATAAACAAGTATGTAACAAGAATAAATGTAGAGGGAGGGGGGGGGGGCAGGAATTGTCATTTTTAGTAATACTTACCTTTGGTTACTTCGGGAGACATGGGCAATGTATGCGATTGGCACAGCATTTATTCCAAAACATTGGAAGAGACTAACAGGATGACACACGCCAAAGTCAAATGCTACTTCTGTCATAAGACAGTGTAGATATGGTGAAATTTAGATGCATTACTTCGACATTACTTAATCAATTTTTTACCATGACCATTATGACAATGTATCGACCGGTCTGCCCTCTAAAGTTCACACATCTTTCGTACCTAATAAATAAAACACAGATTCGAGTTTGCAAGCTCGAACTCTCTCTTTTATTATAGAAGTATGTTACAAACCAAAGCGCATTTTGCAATTTTTCGAAAGGGATTACAGGAGGCAATACATGGTGTTAAGATGATTATGTCAAATCGGATGTGGATGAACTATTACTACTGTCAGAGAAGGGTGCATCAGAATCGAGCAGCTTAGGTGTAGGAACTTCATCCCTTCTAAGAGATATAGTGGACAAAACGATTTGTTGTACAAACAAATTACGCTCCGATCCTTCATCTTCCCAGGACGACTGAGATGCATTCTCATCTAACAGTTCCGATAACAGAAAGGTTGATGCGGTTGACGAGGTAGATGTTAGAGAACTGGACGATGATTGTGCTAAGGTTACTGCTGGTTTCAATACCAAGGTATGAGAACTGGATGACTCTGCATTTGATGATTCCCTAGCAAGTATCTGACTTACAGTTTGTCGAGGACGGGGAAGACGATCCGGTTGTTGCTGCCTTGGTACATTCACCTGCTGCCGCTCTAATTGTAACTGCATTTGCAATTGTTGTAGCTGAGATGGGGTACTACTATTATTGCTGCTTACGTTATTTGTTGAACGCCGTACGCCGGATAACTGCGACAGTAATTCTGCAATCGGATCCACAGAGTCTCGAGTCGATGGTGATAATGATGACAAAGCGCCACTGCTAAAAACGCTAAATAAAAAAACCAGAATTCTATGATATGAAATTTTGCGATGACATGGATGACAGTTAAGAAAGTCACTCTACAGTACCTGAAGTGCATGTTGGATCTGCGAGGGCGGCCAGACTGTGAACTGCGACTGCCGCCACCAAGATGTCCGGATGGAATGCGCCTCACGTTATGGACGCGTGTAGCAACTGGTTCGTCCAAGAAGGAGATTAGTTCTCTTGGACCAGTCCGATGTTCTAACGTTAAGTGGCCGGCAAAATCGTCAGTCATTAGGTTTGGGTCTCCTCCGGGCATTCCCGCACAGATCGGACAAACCTTTAATAATTATAGCAAATTTAATCGAACTTACAAAATGAAAATTTCAGAAATACATAAAATACACTCCCACCACCAATAAGAACGAGGGTTAAGTACATGTGCGACTTTTGATACGTTTGATGTAGGACTTTTACCGAAAAGGGGAGGTTTTTCAAGGAGGGATGGGCAAAACAATATGTTACAACTTTTAGCTAAGTCTGTAGAACCAGATTCTACAAGACTGTATACAGTCTTCCGAGTCAAATGAGTGATCAGCATTATCATAGGGGCAAACCCCCTCTGCTCTCAATTTTATGCATATTAAGTTATGAATGAACGATATACATTCTTAAACACCCTACTTTCCATTGGATCGTCAGACTAACCACCCTTGTACCCACCCTAACTGACCATTTTAAAAACTTATTCAAATAAAGCAATCGCCAAAAAGAATAATGTAGGTACGTACCACTTCTAGAGGTGTTTCTGCGTGTTCTGCAGTAACATGTTCCAGCAAAGTAGCGTCTGTAAATCCCATACGTCCGCAATATGGGCAAGTGTAAGACTGTGGTTGATCCAAATTGGCTAAAGCTTCACCGGCGTAATACAGATCTGGAAAAGTATCAATTAGTCCTCGAGGTTACGATTTCAAATGCGCTTACCAAAATCGGCTCTCGTCAAGATGCACTGCATCGGGTGGTCTGGGTTGTGGCGAGTAGTCGTGACACCGGCTTCATAGCAAGTCGAGCATAAGTCGTAGTCATAGCATATTAAACATTTAAAGCGTCGGCCGCTAAAATTTCCCCTTAGACAGGAATCACAACTGACACCTAAAAATAGATGACATATGCAAACGACTCGTTGTAAATAGCAATTCTAATCTACGAACATACCCTCGTGGCAATTCATTGATTTTCTTCTCCCTAAACAGAAAAAAATGCAAAAATTATCAGTTTGCACAAAAAAAATTGTAATGAACCGAGAGGTTATATTTGAAAAGCCAAAACACTGGCACCAACCGAATAAAACAAAACCAACATTCACCACTAATTCAAGCGTAAAATAACTAAATTTTAGCACAGGATCAACAGAAAAATAGGACAAGATACAAAAAATTAATCCATACTAGCCCTAAAATCGTAACATAAACAATTCTGTTTTAAGAGTTTATTAAACAAGAGTTGAAATCACGAATTTGCTACATTCCACTATAATTTGAAAATGAAATCGTATACCTCCTCCCGTAATCGTTCCATATACATTTGTATTCATAATCACAGCGCTTTACTTAAAAGTTACAATTTTTCCTGGTAGAAACTTCAGGGAAACGGCAAAAAAAAAACGGCTGGGAGTAGGTTCACTAAATTCCCCTAGAAAACGTGTCTAAGCTACCTCCTTCGGAATATTAACCTTTCACGGATGGATTTGGAACCTGGATTAACGATGAAAAGGGCGTGTAAAGCCTAGGTGATGGCTGAGCATCTAATTCCTTATACATATGACAGACCTGACTAAAGCACAAGCATATGAGTATCCCCCCCCCCCCCCCGCTGGGCCACTAGGAGGGCTAGTGGTACCAAACTCGCTAACGAAAGAAAGATATAGGGAGTGCCCAAATGATCTACCACGAACAAAAGAACCCCTTGAGAGCTATAGAAGTAATTCTAGCTGCATTGCTGTAATTAGCCCGGCACCACATACTCATCATCTACACTCACTACCACCACTGATGTATATACCCAGGTGTTGGGACCAGAACTGAAAAGAACCAGTACCAGAACAAATGCATTTATAGGGCTTTCATTTGCAACACGGGAACTGTTTTTCAACAAGTTACGATAATCAGAACCAATACGCAGTACCTGGGTAGTAATGTATTTAATAAAACCAGAAAAAAAGACTACAACCGGAATCAAAAATTATGGAAGTCACAAAACAGGAATCAGAAAATCCAAACCCTGGTACCACCATAGTATATTTGAATCATGCCCAAAGTGCACTGTATGCATATCAGACCGCCTCCACTATAGATCTGGATGTTTGGGGGATCAGGGTCCGAGGTCAACCTTGTGCCCAAAGAGAATGGTGGGTTCTTAGAGGCACAGAAAGCGTACACTCTGTCACATTCTAAAAGGGACAGACTGCGTATCTTTTCATCCTAGATCAGAGGATGTATAGTTCCTTCAAGATTAACCACGAATTATCTACTGTAAACGAACTGGCAGGGCTCAGTGCACGACAACTGATTTGCTGCCCATAGGCAGCTCTGTAACTTGCAGTAATGTCAAAGTTAAGATTGTCGATACACAAGAGAGGGCATTATTATTTGTACAAAATTGTCCGGGATACCCACTATCCAAGTGGGTACTGCATGCAATGAACCCGAGGGGGCAACCACATTTCACACTTGCAAAGTTAGATAATCCATGTTTGACGGTGACGATTAGACTGCCGACATCTTGAAGTGTGTCTCGAGTGTGCGGGATGGCTCGGTAATTGATGTAGGCATAGGGGGGCATTACAAAGAGGATGTTTTTTATATTTCATTTCATTTGGAGATCACAAAAGCAAACCAACCTCTCTGAACAGCACCAACCTCAACTTAACCTCAAATTATAGGTACTTACAATTAATTAAATATCTCCCCCATGTCACCGAATTATCTCGTATCCTGCTGATTGAGGTCATGGTCCATGGCAATTTACGTAACATCATAGCATGGCGAACGAATTCTTTTTCGATCCAGCCAAATATGGTCTAAGAAAATCGTTAAAATTAACCGATTTTTCCGAATTGCGAGGGTGAGGTTGTAAGGTCTCCCAAGAAGCTTTAAGAAGGTACTTGGGGGACCCTCACACAACACAATCGAGCCACAATGTTGTAGATAATAATAAAATAGGTAAGCGCTGTATTTTTGACTTCAAAAGTCTTGTACGTCTTTCGATTGCAGAAATTGGTTTAGATGCCTGCTTAATTCCGACACGTTTTCCCAACTTATTTATAATCGAGACTGTTGATTTTTTCTATCCTCTAATTGATGATCCCTATTTAATGGGTGAGTAGAAATGATATGTTTTCTTCGACTTATAAATTGTACCTATTAGGAAAAATTGCTTGTGCCAACGTGTTAAGTGACCTATATGCTTTTGGGGTGTATTGTATCGATCACGTCCGGATTATCATGGCTGTGTGTGATCAAATGACCGAACAGGAACGTGCTGTGGTCATACCTTTAATGCTCAAAGGTTTTCAGGTAGGAACCTCTTCGTTGTCACGAGCTTATTAGGTATATTCTTTTAGGATCTTGCCAAGGTAGCCAATTTGAAAGCAATTGTTCAGAACGCTTCAGTTAATCCTTGGTGCATAATAGGAGGAGTTGCTACATCTCTTTGCACGTCACAAGAATACATTCTGTAAGATTTCCTGTTGATTGTACCAAATTTGCAATGACACGCACTTTCAGTCCGTTAAATGCACAAATTGGTGATGTGCTTGTTTTAACTAAACCTTTAGGAGTTCAAATTGCCAGTAATATAAATCGTTGGCGTATTAATGGTGGTGAAAAATGGGAGAATTTATTAAAGGTGATCACTGAGGACGAGGTCTTGAAGGCTTTTGCCACTGCTGTTAAAAATATGTGCCACTTAAATAAGAATGGTAATGTGGAAGGTATATATAGTCGATTAGTTTATAACAATTAGCTTTTAGCCGCCTATTTAATGCACAAACATGAAGCACATGCGGCCACAGATGTTACTGGTTTTGGAATTTTGGGCCATGCAGAAAATCTGGTAACATTTCAAAGTCGCGAAGTTTCATTTCATATAGACACTTTGCCAATAATCAAAAATGTAATTCAGATTTCAGAGGTGATTGGTAATAAAAAACGATTATTAAGTGGTTTGGCTCCAGAAACATCCGGTAGGTTGACATGGATTTGACAAGTTGATCAAGTTCTCTTTGTAGGTGGATTGTTAATTTGTATGTCGAAGGATAACGCTGAGAGATTTTGCAAAGAGCTGGCAGAAATCGATGATCGTCAGGCATGGATTATTGGAACAGTTGAGGCTGGCAGTAAAACTGTACATATTAGCAGTGATGTGAAAATAATTGAAGCCTCATAGCACAAATCTCATAAATATTAAATGATCATTCCTTTCTCATGTACTTTTAAGTTTTAGAATTAACGTTTTTATAATTTTTTGTGGCTCGATATCAGTTTAACAAGTTTTACCGTAATGACTAAAACTAAATAAAATTGTTGAAATGGTTAGTTTTATGAAGTTGGTAAAAGATTGTTAAACCACTTTTGTTATAAATAAATTGTTTCTTAATTAACTGGCATCAAAACTGGAAGTGAGTTGATTATTAATAAATATAAAAGAATAGGTTGCAGTACACCATCAGTGTGGGTTCCATTGTGTGACAGCTTTCTCTTCACAGCGCCTTAGCAAAAGAGAAGCCCTTTTCTAGCACTATAAAGGAGAGGATATAAGTGAGTAGAAATATCACACTAAATAAATAATTCGACCTCATTGTATGAAAACACAACAATTATGAGAGAATATAAGCCAAGAGAACCATAGTGGAATTGTAAGAGCAAGCAAGCATCTGCAGGTGACCAGTATCTATAGGAGCACTAACAACCCCAATATACTCAGACCCGATGGACAGGGTAGTAGAGTAGTTTTCAGTGCATTGGAAGTTGTTTGCCAGTTCTAAAAGCACAAGCATTCAAACCTTCCTGTCTGATCGAAAAAGTACGAATTGTTTTGGATTCTACGCTCCAAAATTAATAAGAAAAAGTGTTTTCTCGAGAAATTTTAGTGCAGTCGATTTTTGGTAAAAAAGGAAGGCCTTTTTTTGAGGCCCTCAAAAAAAATTGTTCAGATCGACACGGAAAAAAATTTTTCTTATAGAATGTGGCCTGTAGAATCCATAATTTCAAACAGTTCCAAGATTGGGCTACTAGTTCAAAAGGTACAGCCCTTTGAATTTTTTTTCGAAATTGGTTTCTAGTCTATAACTTTTGATTGAGAAGTCTGATCGAAAAAGTACGAATTGATTTAGATTCTACGCACCCAAATTAATAAGAAAAAGTGTTTTCCCGAGAAATTTTGGTGTAGTCGATTTTTGGTAAAAAAGGAAGGTTATACACTGCCTTTTTTTTGAGGCCCGAAAAAAAAATTGTCTCAGATCGACCCGGAAAAAAATTTTCTTATAGAATGTGGCCTGTAGAATCCATAATTTCAAACAGTTCCAAGATTGGGCTACTAGTTCAAAAGTTACAGCCCTTTGAATTTTTTTTCGAAATTGGTTTCTAGTCTATAACTTTTGATTGAGAAGTCTGATCGAAAAAGTACGAATTGTTTTGGATTCTACGCACCAAAATTAATAAGAAAAAGTGTTTTCCCGAGAAATTTTGGTGCAGTCGATTTTTGGTAAAAAAGGAAGGTTATACACTGTCTTTTTTTGAGCCCCGAAAAAAAATTGTCTCAGATCGACCCGGAAAAAAAATTTTCTTATAGAATGTGGCCTGTAGAATCCATAATTTCAAACAGTTCCAAGATTGGGCTACTAGTTCAAAAGTTACAGCCCTTTGAATTTTCTTTCGAAATTGGTTTCTAGTCTATAACTTTATATTGAGAAGTCTAATCGAAAAAGTACGAATTGTTTTGGATTCTACGCACCAAAATTAATAAGAAAAAGTGTTTTCCCGAGAAATTTTGGTGCAGTCGATTTTTGGTAAAAAAAGGAAGGTTACACACTGCCTTTTTTTGAGGCCCTCAAAAAAAATTGCCTGAGATCGACCCGGAAACAAATTTTCTTATAGAATGTGGCCTGTAGAATCCATAATTTTAAACAGTTCCAAGATTGAGCTACTAGTTCAAAAGTTACAGCCCTTTGAATTTTCTTTCGAAATTGGTTTCTAATCTATAACTTTTGACTGAGAAGGCTGATCGAAAAAATACGAATTGTTTTGGATTCTACGCACCAAAATTAATAAGAAAAAGTGTTTGCTCAAGAAATTTTCGTGCAGTCGATTTTTGGTAAAAAAGGAAGGTTGTTGTACACTGCCTTTTTTTGAGGCCCTCAAAAAAAGTTGTCTCAGATCGACCCGGAGAAAAAATTTTCTTATAGAATGTGGCCTGTAGAATCCATAATTTCAAACAGTTACAAGATTGGGCTACTAGTTCAAAAGTTACAGCCCTTTGAATTTTTTTTCGAAATTGGTTTCTAGTCTATAACTTTTGATTGAGAAATCTAATCGAAAAAGTACGAATTGTTTTGGATTCTACGCACCAAAATTAATAAGAAAAAGTGTTTTCCCGAGAAATTTTGGTGTAGTCCATTTTTGGTAAAAAAGGAAGGTTATACACTGCCTTTTTTTGAGCCCCGAAAAAAAAATTGTCAGATCGACCCGGAAAAAAATTTTTTTCTTATAGAATGTGGCCTGTAGAATCCATAATTTCAAACAGTTCCAAGATTGGGCTACTAGTTCAAAAGTTACAGCTCTTTGAATTTTCTTTCGAAATTGGTTTCTAGTCTATAACTTTTGATTGAGAAGTCTGACCTTCCACTGAACTATAGCCCCTACCTCCTTGTGGTCAAAGGAGAGCAACGAAGCACAGGCCAGTAGTAAGTCAGTCTAGCAGTAGTAAGTTTCCTTGGTACCTACTACAAAAAGGGGGAACCCCTGTGTTTGTGTGTCCCAGTAATTATGTGTAGCAGCAGTGTGGCATAGAATCACCCTGTCCCGACCAATATCTCCCTCTCGCTTCTCTGTCTCCATGGAGGTAGAGAAAGGTCCCTCCAAGCGACGTCAGGCAGACCTCAACTCCGACACTCCTACCAATACGAGATGTATTTATTTCCTTAGATATAAATTTGATGTCATTATTCCACAAGTTATTTCACAAAATGTTTAAAAATGGCCTCAATTCTTAATATACCAAGTTTGTTGAGAAATGTGGCATAATATTTGCTCAATATTATAGTAAAGTGCTTTTTAATCAAATTTTCTTCAGTTGAGAAATTGTTCAATGAACTACTAAATGAATGATATGCACATTTGCAAAAATGTCCTGCTTATGTAACTTGTAGACAAAACTTCGCCATTACTGATGATGATCATTGTCCGACGTGCGGGGTCTTTGACTCACCGTATTCTCGCTTGTCAGGATCTCCCCTCAGACCGTTCTTGATCTGGTTCCCGATGTTAATATCCTATGTGTGTTATTATTTGTGCTGATTCACAGGCCAGAGTCGAACCGTATCATTTACTTTACAGGATTTTAAGTTTATTTTTCTTTGCTTTATCTTTTTTGTCTCCCCCTACCCTTTTGGGTTTTTGGCCTCCCTATGGGGATGGTGTTTCAGTTAATTTACCTGCCATTGTCCACAGAGATCCCTTCTAACTTGTACCGACTCCCTAACTTGATCGATCCCAAAGAGTCTACTTTGACTAAGACAAGCAGGACAGGGTAAACCACTCCTTTCAGGATTCATTTTCTAGCGCTGGCTAATCCTCAGAACCCCTCTTTAGGAGTTGGAGATACTCGTGCAAGATTTTAAGGATCTCTTGAAAACAATCACAATATGAAGTAGCTGAAGAAGGTGGTTGACGACCTTCCCCAATATATAGCAAAATGAGAATGTTGAAGAGAAACCCTAGCGCCTAAAACTTGAAAACTCTGGGCAGTTGAATCTCTTCCACACCGCAAATAATCACGCTCAATTATCCAAAGGACCGACAAAAACTTTTTACAACCGGGTTGCTGAAAAAGTTTGTCAACCTGGAGAAGTGTTTCAAACGACATGACGGCAATTACTAAAGAACAAATGCTCTATTAAACATGATGATAAAAGAGAAAAGGGGGCCAACGTTTGCCTGATGGTGATCGGTATAAGCTTATTCATCTAAACCGAGTCACGGCGGCCTGCTCGGTCTTTCCAGAAAACGGGAATCTAAGGATAGGAGAGAGTTGAGGGGTTAGGGACCATTCGCCTTGTAAATTTCAACATATAGTGCTCATATTATGCGAAGCTATACGTATATCTGAGGAAAACCACTTGATACACTCATAGCATCGAAATTACAGGCCTGTTTGCACCAAAGTGCTAAATAGGAGCTACTTACTTGAAAGATTTTACAATATAGATAGTTGCCATTGGTAAGTATGTTAAGATTTTTAAAAATTAGTAGCCGACTATATAAAATAGTTGTAATCAACTAGGCACTTGCTCAATATTGAAGTAATCGATTAGTTGGTTAGTCAATCCTCAAAGGGGTTTTTTAAGACTTTTCCATTCCGAATTTTTCTAAGCTTTTCGCCTAGAGTTCTTTCAAACAACTCCTGTGCCTTCCCCAAAGTCTTGTATAAGATCTTTCCGGATTGGGTAAATTTTTCAGTGCACTTCTACAGCAACGTCCTATCGCTTTTCAAACTCCTTACACGCCTTTGAAAGCCTCAATCTAGGATTTTACTTTCAAAGGCTGTTAGATCCCATACATTTTTTGTCCTTCCGAAGGGACTTGAAAAAGATGAAAATCTAGGAATCCTAGAAAACAGCTAGAAGACTTTGGAAAGGACCTAAGCAATTCATGGAACATGCAATTAAATGAAAATTGTTAGAACCCACAGCTAATATGCAATTCGGCCCATTTTAATAGAATTTTTTTACTTGGAGCTATATCTATGTCAACAATTTTTGGCTATAGTCTCACAGATTTTCTGGTCCTTCGCAGCGTTTGCAAAAAAAGACGCCATAAAATCCTGGGAACTTTACCTACGTAGCAGTATACCATTGAGGGGGTTGAAAATACTGTTGTACGTCAAATATTTTTATTTACTTGATCGATTATAATAAGAGGATCTACAGACAACCCATATCAGTTTCCAATTACAAGTAAAATCCCATCCCGTTTTAAAAAGTCGCAATTTTTATAAGAAAATTCGCTCCTACCTACGTTGCAGTATTCGATTGAGGGGGTTGTAAATGTTGTTGTAAGTCAAATATTTCGATTTCCTTGATCGATTATATTAAGAGGATCTACAGACAACCCTTCAGTTTCAATTACAAGTAAAATTCCGACCCCTTTTAGTAATACGTAATATTTAAGAAAATTCGCTCTTAT